CACAAAAGTGCATCGGTTCAAGTTGCCACACCTCACAGTAGTATACAAATAACAAGTGGACAGGCAAAGTGATATCAAAATAAACAAAGTTGCGTCAGAGAATAAACAATTTGAAGATAACGGCTAGTACAAATATTCAAGCTGTAGAAGACGTCAAAGAGTGAATATGTCTGCGCCGCTGTAACCGATTCTCAGCCATGTCAACAAGAGTCCTCAACCACTGATTCTCATCGTCTGGCAAACCTCAACCAGGTAGTCCACATCTCGACACAGCTCAGATCAACAGTTAGAGACTTCATTGACTGGTGACGCTTCTTGGTCTGACAACCCTGAACACTCTTCAAACCTAATCCAACTTCCACTAACAAGGCATATTGAGGTAAGTGGTGCCTTGGCGTGGGCAGTACATGTCCAACACACCTCAGTCAGCTAAGATTCACAATCTCCTTAATAGACTTTCCTGTCTTGCCTAGTACCCTTCGCCGGACCCCAACATTGCCAACATGCTGATTCCACCATACGCGAGAGATGCTGTGAAGACATCTAAGGTCAGAGATCTGTAATAGCTTGATATCACTTACTTTTAACGTCCATATTTCACAGCCGTACAACGGAACAGAACGGACTACAGAGCAGTAGACTTATCCTTTGATGGATAGTCAGATATCTCGCCAAACGAGCCTTTTGTATCCACATTGAGATTTGGTGAGGAACGAGGTTGTTCGAGCTGATGCAGGTTCCCAGGCAAGTGAAGTGGTCAATGCATTGTAAACTTCACTTCTTCTTATTAAATTGTGAGTGGTTGGAGAGCATTTCTGGAGCATCATCTCAGACTTGACAGGAGTGAAGGGCGTATCAAACATACTGAGATATTTGAGGGAGGCGTTCACAAGACCCTGTATTTTGTCGTCTTCATTTAGCAGGACACCATCATCCGCATACTCCAAGTCAACCAGATAACCCCCAGGGAGTAGATCAACCCCTTTGAAGTCAGATATGCTCAAGGTTATGTGCATCAGTACGTCTATAACGAAGCTAAATCAGGACGGTGACAACGGACATCTCCGGAGGACAACTGTATTTCAAAACCTGTCGAAGGTTGAAAATCTGATAAGTGTATCCTCCTTCAGGTTTAGTTTTCTTGAATTCCTTACTTTTAAGCCCTAGTTAACCTTAAAATGAGTATGGATCGAAAATACTGCACTAGGCAAACTGAACCTTTGGACACATTTCAATTAACAGTAAAATAAGATGAAGGTATCATAGGAGTAAGACTTGGGCACTGTGGCAGATTGTAATTCCATTTTGGTCTGTCTATTAGAAATGTCACATAGTGAAACAGTATCATTTACTGGATGTTTTGGACAATTTATTGTCCATATTCATATCAGGTAACTCCACAACTTTCAGAGTCCTAATTTTTTCTCCTTCTCCAAATACATGCAGTAGAAGCGACTCCGCACCTATCCCAGATATATGGGAAATCTTACTACCCTTATCACGAAGGAGAGAAAATTAGAACTATATAAACTATATCTCAAAGTTGTGGAGTTACCTGGTATGAATGTGGACAATAAAATATGTCCGAAAAGTTATCCAATAAATGATACTGTTTCACTGTTACATTTCTAATAAACAGACTAAAATGGTAAGATGAAGCTACCTCCCTTATTTCAAGAATGAGTCCTTCACAAGCATCTTTGCAGGCTCATGGTAGCGAAATGTAAGAGCCCGTTACTTTGTTCATTTTCAGTTTTGAAACAACTTCCCCAACTGTGATGAGAGTTGGAGGATCAATATTTAAATCCCACTCCGATTAGGAATGGATGATCGATAGCTGAAGCTGCGCCGCAGATCAGTTAAAATATTGTCCAAAGTCTGATAGTAATGATGAATGTTAATCAGTAGTAGAATCAAGGATGCACGTTTTTTCCTATTTGGAACGCACCCACTAAAATAAAGTAATTTGTCCAACGTTCCAACGTCCCAAAATTTCAGGCGACAGTCTCACTAACCATCGTTTTTTCGGAACATTCTTTAACAAAAATTAGGACGAAACGAATTAGGACCTTGAATAAAAGTGCGAGATTTCATAACAGTACAGACCAAGTGAACAGAAGTCGAAGAATAATAAAACAAATAGAGTACATGAGCAGCAAAGAGAATAAATAAAAAGCTATTGATAAAGTGTTCATAACATCCATGACCAAGAATGATAGTCCCTCTGACATACATAAATAACTACTTAGTATGACCTGCTGTCTATTCCTTCTCCATCTCTTCAACCGTTACCATTCACCACTGCTCATAGTCATAATAAAAGCTACGAGTAAGCTTTAGCTGGAACTGATTTTGCTTCTTATCCTGATATGAAATAGCAGGAATGGATTTGATGATAAAAGTATGTTAGTAAGGAGTTGCAAAATATACTGTCTTTTGCTAACCTCTAGTTCCAAGCTACTAAGTGTGCCCAAGTGGGACTGTGACTTGTAGGCCTAAACACTTAACTTTCAGCTAATGGCTGTGGGTTAGAGCCCTACTCCACCTATCGAGGTCCGAACAGCCACGTATTACTGCTTAACTTCATAAAATAAGTGTGGCTGATTGCCAAGTAAAATAACGTACACCTGGCTATTGAATTCATTTCGAACTGTCTTTGCAACTATTCATGAAGCAGACTTAACGTTATACTAATCTCCATTAGGATGAGAATCACTTACACGTCCAGATAAATGCCTAGGTAATTCCTCCCTAAATATCGACTTCGTGTTCTGAGGTTATCACATAGTTGCTTGTTTAGTGCGTCAAATTAGGTTCAGACACACATATTCGGACTACCACAATGTTGAAGTATGAGTAACTTTCCCAAAAAAGTGGTTATACTTCATTGATCATGTCGAACGATAGCTTATAGCACTATGGTTTATCTGCCTCCACGACTGGAATGATGTCAGCAACCACCAAGTTTACCACTATCTACTTGTGTTTGAATTTTATGCTAATCAGGAATAAGTTCTTTTTTGCTTGTTGATCTCTGTCTTATTATTAGAACCAAATTGTGGGAATTTACTTTTGTGCGTTCGTTTGCACACGATTTCGTAAACAACTCCAAGACACCTTTTCAATATGCTCCACTAGAGCAGTATAGTCACTATAAATATAATTAGCTAGATAATTTGCTTTTCGTAAAGCTGGCACTTCACTCATTTCAGACAGTACTTAGCGCGTGAGTATACGGAAATCGAAAATGGACATCAGTGTTGCAGTCACTTTCAGTTCTTAGATTCCACCAAGTCAGATAGTACGTGAACGGTTTCCAACTAGTAACCAGGCAATCATTATCTTTTCTACTGTAGAGCTTCGTGTTAAACCTACACCAGTGAGCCCACAGAAACTAGTTACCAAATCTGTAGACGCCTGTAAGGCGAGTTTTATGAATTCGTCAAATTTGCCACATGGAATCAAATGACTAACCACTCTTAGACTCTACATGCATGTCACATAAACATAGTTCGAACCCATGACTAGATTCTAAAGTTTTATTAATTGGGGTGTGTCAATACGTTCGGTGCAGGCTTTGAATACTGAAAGCTTCAAAGCGAAACTAGCAGCGTGGTTTTAGGAGACCTAAAACAGTATTTTGCTATCTTGGATAGTAATGACTACAGAGTAACAAGTTGCAGAAACTGTAGAAGACTCAAGGTTGGTAACGGGAGGAAGTAGTGAAGTTAAAGGAAGGTAAAAGAAAGTAAAGAGGGTAGATTATGAGATGTGCTTATGTATTGTTGAAACACATACCACAGAAGTTGATGTCACTACGAAGAATCCTAAAAGTAAATTACTCTGGTGTCACCGAAGATTTCAAGAGATGTCTACTTAAAACTCGTCATTACTTCTTGAAGTATCGAAGTATATAGAACTGCATCTATTCTTTAAGATCCTAATCACCAATTAAAGAAAGCCTTAGAGGGGTTTACAGGTGGTTTTTCTAAGCCACTTTTCTCTGAATGAGGTAGTGTAGTTGGGATCCTAGCTGTCCTAGAATATTTCACTACTATCACATTCTTGCCCAGCCAGCAGTACGACTATTTCCTGAAATTCCCTCTAAAGCGAAAGATATTTGCACTTTGATGGTAGTCGCTTTTCATTTCATCATTAACTAACAGACCATTGTGAAGTAGCAGAAACTCAAGGGATAATCGGTACAGATAATAAAAAGAAAATATACTTGTAAAGTCCTTTATTAAACATTCACGCCATGTTCAACTTATCTAATTTTATCAAGCTAAATCTTGGTTCTGAAGTCTACAAGAGTTACAGATAATGCAGTCTGTTGGGTTACTGAGTAGTATGTCAAGATAGAAGATCTAGCCGCTAGTATGCATTCTGAGAAAATTCCAAACAACTAAAAAAAAGTGGGTGCAAATTTTGGAAACATGACGATTGATTGATCATAACATGCCAATAAATCTGAGATAAGGGTACTAAAACCCAACATGACATTACGACTTGGCCACAGTAAGTACTGAAAAACTCTGGACTGCAAATGAATTTAGATGATAGGAAAGCCCAATTAAGGTCACAACCTTTTATCGATAAAACTGAAATAAATCGTAAAATGAAACAAAGCATAACAGATGCCTACGTTCCCAATCGTAAAAGAACGCCGCACAAAAGTAACTAAAAAGTGTGCAGTTAATTCGTTGCCAACCATTTCTAAATTTTCATCATACCATCTGAAGGATGAAAAATTATTCAAAAACCTGTTTCAAGATACAATATTGAAAATGCATCACCCAACGATGCCTAACTAGAATACCACAGGTTAGTGAAGCATATATGAAAACTAAAAGCCCATATAGTGTGCTGAATAACAACATTGACATTTATAACAAAATCAAATAAACCTCGGTTAAGTGAATGAAAGTGGGTCAGTATAAATGAGACGACTTCACAAAAGTAGCTACAAAAACAAAATACATGTAACTGTACACACGCACCTGATAATAGTGTAAAGAGGGGTTATCCGTTAGTACAGATATCACAAGACGGGTTACAATTCTTTTCCTACTTTCAACTTCTTCAGAACTCAGTTCCTTGGACATCAAGTTTGTCATCCGATTCGTGTCTAGTTCAACTTGATGATAACTTGGATGACTTCTTATTGCCTCAGGATCTAACTTTGAGAAACAGAAAACAAAACCAAATTGGGTGGAGTTTCTTCCCACTTAACCAGACGAAAGACATTTTCATCAGATAGCAAATAAAATGATATCAAATACAAACGACCTGAGCCTTGTAATATTCCACTGTTGAAAAGAATTGACTGGCCCTCGTTGGTACGATATATCCTCTATGTAGATACTTTTTACTATTACTACTACCACCACTACTACTACTACTTTTGCTTTCATCTTTACTTCTTCATCATCATCTTGGTGCATTCCAGTTGATGCTTGGTAGTGTGGATTGTTACGCAGTAATGCCAGGCCCTAATTGTTTTTATCTTTGAGCCTATATGTATGCTAGCAAATTACGGTCATCTACATCAAAAAGTTAAAACATTTTAAACAAAATAAATGGCATACAAGTAGGGAAGATTTTTAATTTCGAATCCTTAACTTTCATATTAGTTTAAACTCGATGCGCTGGGGAAAATAATCCAAAGGTGATCTAATATCCAACTATTAAATGCTACAATTTATGATGGAATTAGTGCTTTTAAAATAAACATATCTAGCGAAGATATAACTAACGATCAAAAATAACGGCTTAGAGAAGACCAAACAAGAGTCACCAGTCATAATTTAGCGAATGAGGTGGGTGAAAATCTTCAATTAATTATTTAAAATATGTATATAATGTCTTTTACTAAGGGTAAGCACAACAGCGTGGTGACGGTGAGTACAGCGTATGTGCTTTAAATGTAATGAGATCAAGAGAACGAAGGAATAGAAGAACAATCCGACGCTGTGTTGAAAATAGGTTACATTTACAGGGAATCTAAATAACAAACAATCATTACTTTTCCAATCGTTTTCAGTTTCCTTTACAATCAAACGTCCTATATAATATTTAGATTTCCTTCTTGACGATATGTTGGTGTTAAAAAAAATAGTTAGCTTCTCTTTCACTGTATGTTAATTAGCATTAAATAACTAAATGTAATTGAACTTCTGTTCGATTTGCTACACTGTAAATGGAGAGAGATATAGGAGAAAACAGCAATGAATAGGGGAACAACTGAGAGTAGAATATGTTTAAGACTGAAAGAAATACGAAGCTAATATTTCTGTGCACTGAAATAGATTCTGTTTCGTATCACTGAGATTATCCGCACACAGATTTCTAAAATTTTATAACCTTTATCTACGAATACTGTCTAGTTTATGATTATTTAATTGATGCACTCCTACTATGTCCGTATCTGACCACTATGATAACCCTCAAAACAATCAACTACTATTAATAATAAGCGGATCAAATTGCAACGCAACGCTACACTTTGTCATAGAACAGAGCATAGAATGGCAGTCAACTGTATCTTTATCTCAACTTCATCGATTTCGAAAAGGCTTTCGACAGCGTCGACTGAGAAGTAATTTGACAGGCAGCTGCTTCAACACTACAGTCTTGGTGCCAAAAACCTTTATCAACCTCATTCAACAGCTATACGCTGTGTGATGCTATATGCCAAGTGATTCACAATGGAAAGCTCAGTTCACTGATGCCTTGAAGTGAAGACAGAAGTAAAACAAGGTTGCCGTCTACAATCCCCCATGATCTTCCTGAGTGTGGTCGACTGGAGTGGAGTGGACTGGACTGGATCGTGCAACAAACTGTGAGGAGCGAGAAGATGGGAAAACTCTCCCTGGACCGATGAAAACACCCCGGAAGAAGATTTGGATTTCGCCGATGATGAGTTATATCTAATGTCTTGTCGCACAAACTCAAAGATCTACAGACGAAAACTAACAAGTTGACAGAAGAGGCAGGACACCAAAGATGGGACTTCAAGTGGACGTAGAGAAGGCAGAGGTGATGAAGATACCCAACCAACAACAACATTAATAACAAGCACCAATCACCATCAACGGGAGAAACCTAAAGGACGTAGTCTCATTCACCTATCTCTACCTAGGCAAGGCAGCTTCGCTTCGACTACAGGCAGTGGCTTCACAGATGAGGACGTCAAAGCCAGGATAGAAAAGACAGCAAGACAAGCCTTCACCAACCTGAAACACTCAGTGTGGAGATCTACTGCACTCCACTCCACTCCACTCCACTCAGCATAAAGCGCGAACAACATCCGGATTTCAAACACTAATTCAGTCAAGTCAGTCAGTGCTTCTATGTGATGAGTGAGAGACTTGGCGTGTCACAAAATGCATTTCCAACAAACTGCAGACATTCATCAACAGGTGCCAACTACGATCACTCGAAACTGAAGATCAGATGGCCAGAGTAACAAGAATAAGCAACAAGGAACTCTGGCTGGCTGGCTGGCTGGCAATGAACCAATCAAGAACCTATCACCCACCAAATACACAGAAGAGAGTGGAGATGGATTGGATTAGATTAGATATACACAAATAAGACCGATTGGGGACATCACGCGTCAGGTCGTCAAGTGGAACTTGAATGGGAAACGACTGGTTGGGCATCCGATGGTGACAAGGAGGAGATTGTGTGAGGAAGAAATGTAAGCTTCTGGGCAGTTGTGGAGCTAGGTTGAAGAGACTTCAGAGAACAGAGTGAAATGGCGACGTAGTACTGAAGCCCTACATTCCACTAGGAACCCTAAGGAGAAATAGTGATATAAATATAATGCTACTACTACCGCTCGAAGGATAGGTCGAAACGTACCCAGCAGCATTGTGCACACTCGTGCAGTAGATAATGAGCCACATTGTGTGAAAGCTAGTGATACTATCTGGCTTCCATAACCTCGGTAGGTGAAACAGGGTACGCACCCATGGCCCATCGGTTAAAAGTTATCTCCCTAAACCAATCAGCTACAGTTCCACTAATACTAATACTGCATCAACTATCTTGTCATGCTATCTCTCATTATTACGCAAGTCAAACAGGTGGAGCAGAGTGGTGCTATTTAGTACACTTCAGGTTTGAAAGATATACGGATGATTCTTGTTGCAACTATAGAGAAAAGCACTGAACCAATGCTTGCATACAAAAAAGGATCCACCGATCATCATAACCATAAATTCGACTCAGAATTTAAATCATGCAAAAGATTAGAAAATTTAGGACACCTAATTTTGGTAAACGAAGATAATAAATCACAGTTTGGTAGTCTTGACTTAGCCATTAAATGTTTAGTAGGCAGATACTTTTATTCTGGTCGATTAAGACAGAATAAACCCTGGATACCGGCAATAACGCCTTTATATTCACGCCTAACCTACTTAAATTGCCTGACTCATTAACAACTCTATTTGCCTGTTGAGCGTTAATCTTTGTGCCATAAGACTTTAGTAGACACTAATATTATTTCATACACTTGGTTTCCATTCAGATGTTTCCAAAACTTTGAAAGAAGATAGGTGGTAGCCTACCTTTGCTACGCTATCTTGAAAAAGAGAGGAACTATTGTAATATTCCGGAGTTGAATGTAGTAGTCAGGTTTACTTGGGACTTAAAATCTACTGAGAACATCTAGCTTCCCGACCGTTAGCTGCTACCTTGACGTGGTGGTCGGGCTTGCATATCACAATGACCCAACGAGCTATGCTGGTGGAACGCTTGTTCCCTCGAGGTCCTACCATACCAGAAAGGTCTGTTGGGTAGTGGTTAGACGAAAAGCAGTTACCGTTATAGTGTAAATTGCTACACTATGATGGGGTCTGAGGGCGAAGTCGTACTGCTGCTAGCTGGATGGGGTGTGACAGCAGTAAGGTGTTTCCCTTGGATGACCAGCAGTGCCATGCTGATGCTGCCTTCTCAGTGGAAGGGGGGGGTTAGAAAAGGTCGGCCCCAAAAATAACACACTCCACCACACCCCACGGTCTGCCGGGCCGGCGGTGTTGGTTCACTTGTTATTTCCTTTCGACCATCCGGCCCCAAAAATACAAAAGTTCAAAATAATCATACTCAAAAGGCTGGGTGTGACAGGCCTCAAGCAGATGTCCGATGGGCTCTGCGGTCACACAAATCTCTTTCAGGTACCTTAAGAAGAAATAGCCTTCCACGGTGTGGGCAGCCGGGAAGTGTCAACCGCCCTCACAACTCTGTCAGCACCCAAGTTTCTTCTGACTGCTATCCTCCCCCTCCATCATTACCTTCTAATCTTCCTTCACGTCTCTCAGCTAATAATACTGCATCATCTTCAATTTCTCCTACCTCTGCAGCCTTCGACAACGATCTGAGTCCACAGAACAGCATCCTGGTCTCCTTAAACCACGCTCCAAATTACATATTGGAGCCTTCAATGTCCGCACCCTCCGTCAAATTGGCCAACAGGCTTCGTTGGCAAAGGCCATCGATATGTGCTGTGTTTGTGAGACACGCATACAGGACCCAAGTGTGGTTATTCACCTGACCTCTCCTGACCAATCTGGTGAATCTGCAAAATTCACCCTTCGAGTTTCTGGAGATTCGATAGCTAGCTCTCGTGGTCTTGCAGGTGTAGGTATAGCATTAAGCACCAGGGCAGAAAACTCACTACTAGACTGGATCCCAGTTGATAGTCGCCTCTGCGCTATGAGGCTGAACGGCACAGTGAGAACTAAAAGGAATAGTGAGACTCGCCGTTGTCTCTTTGTAATCTCTGCTTACGCACCCACTGACTGTAGTTCGGATGAAGTGAAGGACGAGTTCTACCATAAACTGTCTAACCTCCTCTCGAAAGCCAAACGTTCGGACGTAGTGGTTGTTGCAGGTGACCTCAACGCACAGGTGGGTAGACTGAGTGAGGCAGAAAGGCACTTAGGTGGCACTTTCGGAATCCCAGCTGAACGTACAGATAACGGTGATCGCCTATTACAACTATGCTCAGATAACCGCCTATTTTTAGCCAGCACAAATTTCAGACATAAAGAAAGGCACTGTCTGACCTGGCGTCCACCGAGCTCGACTCAGCGATGGACACAGATAGACCACATTGCTATTAGTCATCGCTGGAGAGGATCGGTGGAGTACGTGTTTGGATAGCGATCACGCGTTGGTCCGAGCACGTATATGCCTGCGTCTCAATGGACGTAGAAAAAATTTGGCAACAAAACCACTACGAGTTCTGCTGGACAACGAAAACACCAAAGCCGTGTTCAGTGAGAAGTTGGCTAGGCAGTTATCGGAACAAAAGACTGTCACTCATCCAGAAGAAGCTTGGTGCCATCTTCAGTCTACTGTAAAAGCAGCACTGGAGACTGTAGCCGACTCCAAGATAATGGCTAAAAAGAGCCAGTGGATATCAGCAGCTTCTTCCAAACTAATGGATGCACGTGAATGCATCCCTGCAGGCTCTGAGTACAATGAAGAGCGAGCGCAACTTAAAAAAGGTCTGCGCAACGATCGCGAACAGTGGTGGGCAGCGAAGGCTAAAGAGATGGAAAAGGCAGCGGCGATCGGTAACAGTAGACAGTTATTCAAACTTATTAAGAAAACTGGGGGGGAAAGTCAACTGCGGTTAGTGAGGCTATAGCGGAGAAGGAAGGATCTGCAATTCACTCGCAGAGGAGACGACTGGAACGATGGGCAGAACACTTCGAGGAACAGTTTAACTGGCATACAGTCACTATTGCATTGCCCACTATCTAGTAGGATCCTGAATGGAACATTGAGATAGGCCCCCCAACACTGGCAGAAGTAGAAAAAGCAGTAGGTAACCTGAAACGAAGAAGGGCGGCAGGACCAGACGGACTAACTCCCGAGGTATACAAGGATGGTGGTAAGGTGCTCTTAGTCACGTTAACGGAAGCGTTAACCAGTATATGAAAATCAAACACGATCCCCTATGACTGGTCCAAATCACAGATTATCCCAGTCTTCAAAAAAGGCGAGAAGTCTTCTTGTGATAACCACAGAGGAATCAGCCTAACGAACATAGTGCCCAGGATACTAGGTCCTATAATTCTTCGACGCCTGAGTGGAGCTCGGGAACACCAAGCCCGAGAAAACCAGGCAGGATTTAGACCTGGCCGCGGGTGTGTCGACCAAATATTTACACTGCGCCAGGTTTTGGGGCACAGACACGCTTAGCGACAAGTCTTATAGTAAAGTCTCTCACTGAAAGGCGTGCCTGGTAAGTACATCACCTTATTGAAGGCTCTCTACTCGAACACTTGTGGGCATTTTAGAGCCTATGGTGAGTTGTCCTGGGAGCTATACTCATCGAGTGGTGTCCGTCAAGGGTCCACACTGTCTCCATTCTTATTCAACTTTATCACAGATATTCTCATGGAGGTCTCCCTCTCGTCACCTGATTACACAGACGTTGACTTAATCGCAGGAGAATTTTCGTTAGACCTACAATATCCAGATGATATGACAAAGTCCTGTTAGGCGAAGACGCTAACAAGATGCAGAGTCTTCTGAACATTTTGAGTGGCAATTCGAAATGCGTTTCTCACCACCCAAATGCAAATTTTTCTCCAGGACTGGTCTTCAGCGGTACCGCGACTAACAATAGAGAGTGAAGTGGTTGAGTGTGTTGACCACTTCACTTACCCGGGAAGTAGGATCAACCTTGGTGGGTTAGTTGCCGATGAGATCTCTGCAGGGATACAAAAGGCTCTATCGGCTCTTGCCAATTTGCGCCACCTATGGCGCCGCCGTGATATCCCTTTGTCTGTTCAGGGTCGCGTGTACTGCACAGCAGTCCACTCTGTTCTACTCTATGACTGTGAAACATGGCCATTCAAAGTGGAAGATATGAGAAGGCTTCAAGTGTTTGACCACCGTTGCCTTCGTACTATAGGCTGTATTCCGTGGTGTCACCACGTGAATAACGCAAACGTCAGGTATAGAGTTTTAGGGAGAAGAGGAAATCAGTTGACGAGGTCATGAACCTTCATCGACTGAGATGGTTGGGACACGTGTTACGTATGTCTAGTAGCCGATTGCCTCGTCACACAATGTTGGCTGAAGTAGGTCCAGGCTGGAAAAAGGCCTGAGGTGGCCAGACTAAATCATAGCACCAATGTATGAAGTCTCTGACTGTTGGTTTGAGTCATGTGGGGCGATGCAGACTAGGTGGTCTGGGTCAGCGGGACAAGAGGAACCAGTGGCTCAAGACTCTACGTGTGTGGCTCAGAACTGATGTCAGTGGCGCAGATGTATACACACACTATCATCATCTTAACGACGCCATACTGAATCTCGCCATTTTGTCATCCCTCCTTTCTTCCTTCTCGTACTTTATATTTCTTTTGACTGCATCCTCTTATCTTTATCCTGCACCTCACTGCCTTTTTACCTGATGAACTGACGTGAGGTGTGGCAACTCGGATCGGTACGCAGTAATGCTTGGTCCTATGTTGATATGGATGATGACGACATCTAGCTAGGAACGTTTCACAAAGCGAAAATAAATATCCAGCCAGTGAAGTCATCCAGAATCTAAATTAATGTATATATTCATGCTTGGATCACTCGAAACGTCATCGGGATGTTTCAACACTTATGAACTGGTATTATATGTTGCAATGACTCATATCCTTCTCACCTTGATAAGAATTTAGTGATTTGCCTCTCTCAAAATCGACTGTTTTCTTTCCTACCTTTCTATGTGATCGCGGTTTAAGCGTGAAATCTCACTTTAGGTTTGGTAACCCTGGAATCTTAGCTTATGATGGAGTACATAGTCAACAACGATCACGTTAACAAGGAGGTCAATCACTTTAAAGCCTGACATAGATTATAATAAGCAACAATATAGCTACAACATGAAAGGCCAATAATCTTCCATAAGTTCTTACCAGATTCTACAGTCACAAGGTGAAATCGTGCCAATCAAAACAAGCCAAGTCTAAGGCAAATAAAATTTTAAGATGGAATGAGTTGGGGACTATAGCGAGATTGATGCTTTTCCAGATTTTTCAATGTAAGAATGGCATGTACAACTGAAGAATGGGATGGCAGGAGAAAAGACAACAAATAAGGAAGGTGGAAGCGGCTTTTAACTTACTGAAGACCAAGGAAGGTATGATGTCAAAACAAACTTTTTCTGGATCCAAAGCTCAGGTTTGATCAATTTTATTGCGATAGCTTCAGTAATACTGAGTAAACTATATATGGTACTGATTTCGGAACAGTGTAGGACGAAAAGATCTGTTAGCATCTTTGTAATGACCTAAATCGATCAGGTGGGTCAAGACAAAAGTGTATGAAGGCGGCAAAAAGTTCCCTTTAGCTCACTTAGTAGATATACGACCATGTAGATGATAAAAACTTTTATTGTCAATTACCTTGCTTTTTATTTAATGGATGTACTATAAATATCATGGAATTTCAATGCTGCTGGAGAGTGTTCTGGTGGCAAGTAAATATGTTGTTGTCCTTCTGACTTCTTTCATAATTATAAATAGTGGGACGATGGAGCATATCTGGCGATCACATAATTACAAAACTCCAGCCTAATGATTAACCCTCTCATAGGATTCGACTACCGCCACTAAGTTACTGGATTTTGAATCCTTAACTGGATTTGGTAGGCTACTTTTATCTAAGTAGAATAAATCATTATTACGTGAGATAGCATATAGAAGTCTTTACAACTAAACCGACTGAATTCCCAAGCCTTGAGTTCCTGAAATTAAACGCCACAAACATTCCAACAGCTTTTGCGACCAATATGTCGAATTCCACACGTGCAAAAACTAAATGCCAACACCTCATATGCTATAGGTTCTAGGAGCTGCACGTGCAGTTTGAGAAAAATCTTGTGACTTAACAGTTACTGTTTTTCTTTCATTACTAGCGCTTATTATCGCCAAACATTACCTATTTAAGGTAGATTACCTGTGGTCATATCATAAAACTCAACTGTGCGCTTAGAAACTGAATAGATTGATTAACCACAACTCTCCATCTCATTTTCCAAATAGTAGACTAACTTGCTCAAAACTAAAAGCCTGAAAAGACACACGTACTATTTTTTCAATGAAACGCTAAAGCGAAGACAAAACAAAAAACATATGGAAGAAATAGACATTCAAATCAAAGTTTACCTATATTTGTAAGTTCACAGTATCCCTCAACTAACATTGGCCAGACGACCTTCCGTATATCATCATCTACCAGTCCGTATCGGCTGATTGAGAAATGACGCAATTTCTTTATATCTTTTCCTTCTTTCAAACATTTGAGTATACTTTCCTTTTTACAGAGGTTCTCGGAGCGCATGACTCAAACTTGGCGTTTCAAACTCAACATGAAGAAAGTAGACTCAGACTTCAAACTTAATGTTGCAGAATTAGTGGACGATGGTCTCTTGGATTCTACGTTGATGAGGTAGGTTTCAGGTCTGGGTGGTCAAAATGGTCTCCCTGGTTTCAAAAAACCTGAAAAGATGGAGATAATGGACTTATAGCGTCACACTTCCCCAAAATCAATAGCCTAGGGTTTGACGACTTTCGACATTGATGCTGACCTTCATAGTTTAACTGGACTCAAGCATCCTCACCATTTGACACGCTGTCGTGCTACGTTGCACTGCTCGTATTCGACTCTCTAGCCAATTAGTTGCAAAGTATCCGTATCTTGGCACAACCATCCAAATATACTATTCCATCCGACTACGCTATCGTGTTCTTCCTTGGCTTCGTACTCGTGGGTATATAACAAGTTCGAATAATTAGTGATTGGTCTTTGCGTCCGTCAAGTTCGCACCAGAACTAATCCTAAATTGGTGAGTCCGAAGTGATCACATATCCTGACCAATAACAAATATTGAATTGGTGAGCCTGTTCCATTTTATATTTAAACATTGTTTTCATTTCCATAACATTTATATATCCATTTACTACACTTTCTCATGTCCGACCACACTCCCAAGCTTATTCGTATTAAGCCGACTACGAACACGATCCAACTCGTGCCATATTGGCCAGACAATGCAGAAACATGGTTTCTGTATGCCGAGGCCAATTTTCGAGAACAGGGCGTCTCAGATCCTCATTCTCGATTTCTTGCTGTCATATGGTCACTACCGCGAGAATTAAACAGGTATGTTGCAGCACACATGTTTAATCCTGAAGTAGGCGATCCTTATGCACTTCTCAAGGCCGAACTCTTGAAGAAAAGCGATCTGACAGATCGCCAGCGTCTAGGCGAATTACTTCGTAACATCGAGCTGGGCAGCCACCCAGCTGCTGAAGTCCTCGCACTCATGCGAGAAGTAATCGGTGCACGGACATTCGACGATGGTTTCTTCCGAGAACTGTTTCTCTCAAAACTACCGCAACCGGTGCATACCGCGTTGGTGACACTGCAGCCAGTCCAACTCGATGACCTAGCAGCCTCGGCAGACAAAATTCTAGAGGTTTCCAGCAGACCCATCTCCAATGTATATTCTATCTATGACAAACCAGTGAGCCAGGATTCAGAGATGACCAAGCTGTGCAGCTATGTTAAACAGTTGCTACGATCTCGAAGTCCTAGTTCACGTTGCACTCCACAGAAACGCATCTTTGCGCGTCGCAGCAACTAGCGTGGTAACCCCAAAACTAAATCTAACAGGGTTGAAGACCCTAAATGGTGCTGGTTTCATAATACTTACGGAGATGAAGCCAGAAAATGTCGTAAACCATGCCGTTTTAAGAAGGACACAAACTCGGGAAACGGTCACACCGGCACGTGCTCACGGCAACCGTAGCCGGTGGAAACAGCCGTTTGCTCTACGTCACCGACGTAAAAACGAAAGTCCGCTACCTCGTCGACACCGGCGCAGAAGTTAGCGTTCCTCCCGCACCCAAAAAGGAGCGTCATCATGACCCATCCTTCAATCTTCAAGCAGCCAACGGCAAGGCAATCGCGACATTCGGGAGACGGTATGCCTACCTCAACTTAGGTTTACGCAAACCTATCCACTGGATTTTCCTCCTGGCTGACGTCTCTATGCCCATCATTGGCATAGATTTGCAAACCATTACGATCTACTCGTAGATGCTCGCCGTCGACGACTGATAGATAACAACACAAAGTTATCTATTGGCGGCACCACCTATGTAGGTCCGAGTTTAGCCATCGTTAGGACTAAACAATCAGGCGACGCGTCCTACCAGGCAGTTCTGGAGAAATATCCAGAGTTACAGCAACCGAAGCACACTCTTCCGTGCATAACCAGCAATGTTATGCATCACGTCACAACCACAGGTCCACCTGTGGCATCCAAAGCGCGCCGTTTAGCCCCCGATAAGCTCAAACGGCGAAAAATGAATTCGACCACATGCTCGAACTGGGCATTATCAGACCGTCAAACAGTCCTTGGGCATCGCCATTGCACATGGTTCCCAAAAAGGATAGCAACGACTGGCGTCCAACCGGTGATTACCGAAGGCTTAACGCCAAAACAACTCCGGACTGCTACCCGATACCTCACGTTTACGACTTGACCGCAACCTTATGCGGAATGAACATTTTCTCAAAATCGACTTGGTCAAAGCGTACAACCAGATACCTATGGCAGCAGAAGATATCGCGAAAACAGCCATTATTACTCCTTTTGGCCTGTTTGAATTCCTGCGCATGCCATTTGGTCTTCGGAATGCAGCACAAACATTCCAACGCTTTATGGACGACGTCTTCCGTGGTTTGAATTTTGTTCATGTCTACATCGATGACTGTCTAATTGCGAGTCCAGATAAGGAAACTCACCTTAAACATTTGGACCTCGCATTCGAAAGACTAAAAAACATGGCATCACAGTTAACTTACAGAAGTGTGAAATAGGAGTTGAATCACTCAGCTTCCTTGGGCATACCATTGACAACAAAGGTATACGCCCATTGAGAGATAAAGTGGCGGCTATCACAAACTATCCAGAGCCGACCACTGTGAAACATCTCCGCACTTTCAATGGCCTGGTAAGTTATTACCGAAGGTTTATCCCTAACTGTGCCTCTGTCATGAGACCACTCACAGATCTACTTCGAGGAACTGCGAAGTTCGTGTCTCTGGACAACGCGGCTAGACTTGCTTTCTCTAAAGTCAAGGAAGCCATTTCGAACGCAACCATGCTTATGCATCATGACCCCAATGCTCCCTTGAGTATTGCTGTTGATGCATCTGATTCAGCAATTGGAGCAGTTTTGCAACAGTTGACTGACAACCAGTGGCAACCGTTAGCCTTTTTCTCGAGGCGGCTGCAAGACGCGGAAACAAGATACAGTACATTTGGTAGGGAACTCCTAGCCATGTACTGTTCTGTACGCCATTTTCGACATTCTGTGGAAGGTCGTGATTTCATTATTTTCACAGACCACAAACCGTTAACGTTTTCCCTCAGCTCGGCGTCTGACAAATACTCCCCTCGTGAGTCGCGACAGCTGGATTACATTTCCCAGTTCACGTCAGACATCCGCCACATTTCTGGAGCAAACAACTCCGCAGCCGACGCACTATCTCGAATAGCTTCGATAAACTATATCGAGGGTATTGATCTCGTTGAACTAGCTCGGCGTCAAAAGGAAGACCTTGAGCTGCATCATGAGTTGTCGTCCACAACTCTCAAACTGCGACTTTGTCCTGTTGGATCAGACAAGGATGCAATTTTGTGCGATGTCTCTGCTAGTCAACCACGCCCAATAGTTCCGAAGAGTTGTCGACGCAACGTCTTCAATACGTTGCACAAACTCTCTCATCCAGGTGTACGAGCCACCATTAGGCTTATCGCACAACGTTTCTGCTGGCCTGGGATGAACAAAGACGTTAAGGAGTGGGCCCAGTCGTGCTTAGCTTGTCAAAAGTGTAAAGTCACGCGACACACGAAAAGCCCTTTAGGCTCATTTCTAGCCCCAGACATGCGTTTCGACCACGTCCATATAGATATTGTAGGACCCCTACCAGAATCTAATGGATGTACCTACCTTTTCACTGTGTTGATCGTTTCACACGATGGCCGGAAGCAGTACCCATTAAAGATATTACTGCCGAAACAGTTGCTCGTGTTTTCGTCGAAAGATGGATCGCGAACTTCGGATGTCCATCTACGTCACAACCGACCGTGGGCGCCAATTTGAGTGTGGATTATTTCACGCTCTAACGGCACTTTTAGGTTGCACTCGGTTCCGAACGACAGCCTACCATCCACAAGCAAATGGCATGGTAGAGCGTTTCCATCGACAGCTGAAAGCTTCCCTTTCAGCTACAAACATACCTCAGTGGACCGAGGCTCTGCCTCTAGTCCTACTAGGTATTCGTAACGCGTTGAAAGTTGATGCTGGATGCACTCCTGCAGAACTCGTCTATGGGACCACTCTTCGCCTACCAGGTGAGTTTGTTTCCCCTTCAACTTTCAAACATGTTTCCGACAGGGCATCTTACGTGACTAGGCTTACAAACGCAATGCGTTCAGTTAGGCCTTCTCCGATTAGACCGCAAACGACTGATGTTTTCGTCCACCCCAGTTTACAGAAGACATCACACGTGTTTGTTCGCCACGACGCCGTTCGTCGACCACTTGAACCACCCTACGACGGGCCGTTCAAAGTGATTAAGCGACCGAGAAATTCTATATAATTGAGCGAGACGGACGTGAAGATACTGTCAGTATCGACCGTTTGAAACCAGCTTATTTCGAAGGCAACCCCATTATAAGTGACGTTTCAGCTCGCTACATCCGACGACGGAAGGCTCAATTATCGAAATTCTTGACGATGTGCCTGGTAATGCACAACCGCAACAACCATCGGCGCAACAAAAAACACGATCAGGTCGAACCGTCAGGTTCCCGGAGTATTTAAAGTCGTATTCAACCTAGCGGTGTGAAATAAAATGTGCCAACCATGTTTTTCTTTTAATTACAAACTTTTTTCCGGGGCACTATTTTTCTCATTTACCGGCAATGCGCAAACCCTAGTACACTTTGCCTTTTTATATCAATTTTTTTACCATATAATGAAACTTTTAAAAAAAACGGTGAAAATGAGAGTAAATTTTTGTTTTTCGATATGTTTATGTATAAATAATTCCCATTTTGACGAAAGGTTTTCGTGGTATTAAAGACTTTTATTTATATTCCAGGTTTAACGAGCACTGGACGGAACGTCAAAAGCAACTGAGGATCACGACCGACGTCCGATTCGATTTATTGTATTTTATTATTTAATTGCCACGACACCCTAGAATAGGTTCAGACAACCAGGGGCCACTTCGCGCAGTGAGCCCATCGGAAGAGTTTTACC